ATATCTTCCAATTCCAACGCCACGCTCCGGGATCATGTCCCCGAGCTCGGCGACAGACGTGGCAGGCGAGGTCAGCTTAAGCAGTTGCAGACACTTGTCGTCTGCAACGCCCACGGTGGGCATGCTCCGATGCAAGTCTTAGGGCAAGCGCGCGCCCTCGTATTCAGCCTCCTGCAGGAGCCAGCGAAACAGTGGAAAACTCTGGCGCCCATGCAACAAAATGTAGTCAGGCGAAATAGGGAACTTTCAACTGTCGTGACTTGCCGCAACTTGTGCTAGTTACTCGAAAGGGTCCAGCAACGGCGGCGAGGCCCCCCCCGTATAACTAGAGAAGAGTCCACCGACCACCGCTTGCCCAGGGCGAGAAGGCGTGTGAGATGCTTGGCTGCCCCCCTCCCTCTGTGCTCCCTCCCCGGATGTCCAAAATCCCGTAGGAGGGGTGGATGGGGTTGAGGCGCGAGCTTCTCAACGCACCTCCAGGGCCCTCAGCGCTTCCAAATCCCCCCTCCGATACCTGCAAGATGCCCACGATGCCCTCCAAGACTGCTCAATAAGCGCTGCAACACGCCTACGAAGCCTCGAACAACTCAACAGGCTCTAAAAGACCACATGCCAATGTTAAAGAAGTATCAAGAGAGGCAGAAAGAGAGAGAGATAGAGAGAGCGACAAAACAAAAAGAGACGTGGGTATCTCGCCTCATTGCTTCCATATGCCCCCCAAGATAATTCCGGAACTAGTCCCCCGAACAGACCAATACGCTCCTCAAGTGTGGCCCCCAATTGGCTCCTGGCTGGTCTCCACCCAAGATGGTCCCGAATGGCTAATGGCTGTAGCTCCAAGATGGCTCAATACCCTTCCAAGATGGTCCAAAGACTTCTCAACGCGGCTCCAAGACCCTTCCACGCGACCCAAAGATCCCCGAAGGGCTCGCCAAGATTGCCAAAAGAAGTCTCCATCGAGCGCCAAAGGGAGCTCCAACCCGCCCTAGAAGGCTACGAGGAGACCCCACACGGCACCATCACGGCCACAAAAATGGGCAAATATTCGGTCATACACTTATTCAGGCCGTACCCCACTCCAAAACTCGCTGATTGGGAATTGCGGGCTCATTCATTGCCGTCTCTTGCCGTTGACAATGCCCAACCAGAATACGAGGATCCGCCGGCCCCCTTGTGGGGCCACCAGGCTGCGAGGCCCGTGATTCGCAGTTTCCTGTACCAGTTGTAGCTTGTAGTTTCCAGTGTTACAGTTCTGCTTCTTTCTGGTTACTGTAACTAGTTGACTTCTTGCTGGTTACTGTAACTAGTTGATTGACCGCGCGAGGGGGGGAGGCCCAAACAAGACTTTTAGCACCCCCTGAGCGCGTTGTCTGAATTGCTGGGGGGGCTCGAAATCGACACCCCTCACGCAGATCCGCGGGGTCAGGGTCCAAAAACACAGGGGATTTGCCACATTTCTGAAATTCGGTGCCACCCCTCACGCAGATCCGCGGCGCGGGGTCAGGGTCCAAAAACACATGGGATTTGCCACATTTCTGAAATTCGGTGCCACCCCTCACGCAGATCCGCGGGGTCGGGGTCCAAAAACACATGGGATTTGCCACATTTCTGAAATTCTGTGCCACCCCTCATGCAGATCCGCGGGGTCAGGGTCCAAAAACACAGGAGATTTGCCACATTTCTGAAATTCGGTGCCACCCCTCACGCAGATCCGCGGGGTCAGGGTCCAAAAACAAAGGGGATTTGCTACATTTCTGAAATTCGGTGCCACCCCTCACGCAGATCAGCGGGGTCAGGGTCAAAAAACACATGGGGTTTGCCACATTTCTGAAATTCGGTGCCACCCCTCACGCAGATCCGCGGGGTCAGGGTCCAAAAACACATGGGATTTGCCACATTTCTGAAATTCGGTGCCACCCCTCACGCAGATCCGCGGGGTCAGGGTCCAAAAACACATGGGACTAGAACCACGCGCGCGCTTCGCGCGCGCTTAGGTTCTAGCTAGGATCGTCACCGTCGTCATCATGAACATCACCATCGCCATCATTCCCCCCGCCAGGGCTAATGTACATCGTTTCTGGATGCTTCTGGCCGGAATACGAAAGGAGTTTCTGTAGTTAGAGTCTTTGGGGGAAGTCGCGGGGCCCCTCAGAATACTTACGAATGCCTCTGACAATCCCCCAGCGTGCCCCACGAGATGGCCAGATGGTGCCCGAACAGAACCCGAGAACGTCGACGACGGCGGCGATGAAGACGGCGGCGATCGCGGCGACGAAGGTAGCGGCGGTTGCCATGGGTTAGTACCCAATCAGAGCTTGCCTCTGTAAGGGTCCTGGCGGATTAAAAGGTTCGATGAGCTTCGGCAAGATTCCGGCCCCATGCGGCCGGGCCGGGTGCCCGGGTGCCCGGGTGCCCGGGTGCCCGGTGCCTGGGTGCCTGGGTGCCCGGTGCCCGGGTGCCGGGGTGCCTGGGGGTGCCCTATCGCCCTATAGCCCTGTAGCCCTATTGCCCTATAGCCGTATAGCCCTATAGGACTATAGCCCAATAGCCCTATATCCCTATATCCATCTAGCCCTTTAGCTCTATAGCCCTCTGATCCTATAGCCCTGTAGCCCTATAGCCCCATAGCTCTACAGCCCAACAACCCTATAGCCCAATAGCCGAATAGCCCACATAGCCCTATAGCCCTATGGCCCTAGCCCTATAGCCCTATCGCCCTACAGCCCTATAGCCCTGTAGCCCAATAGCCCTGTAGCCCAAGTCGTTTTCATCCTGAGTCGTTTTCTGACGGTCCCGGGAACCTGCGAGGGGCCCCGGAGGCCGAAAATTAACAAAACCGCCGTCGTGATTTTTCCAAGACGTCGGAGGTCCAGGTCGTGCTTCCCGCCTCCCCAGACCTCCGACGTCGTAATTTTTGCGACCTCGGGCCCAGGAATCGATTGGGAAAACGCACATGGGAAGGCAAGAAATGATGGACCCATCATTTCGTACCTGTGCCTTGATCAGTGGGACGGGCTTCGCACCGCCGCACATCACAAGACACGCTCGAGCGGATCCAGCCGTGGCGACGTCGGGGACTGCAGAAGGTCGCAAGGACACATAATGTGAAAGGAAGAGAGAGAAAGAGAGAAAGAGAGGGAGAGAGAGACAGACAGACAGAGAGCGAAGGAGAGAGAGAGAGAGAGAAAGAGAGATGGAGAGAGAGAGAGAGAGAGAAACAAAAAAAACATAGAGAGAGAGAGAGAGGCAGAGAGAGGAAATGGAGAGGAGGCGAGCTTGAGTCAACGAAAGTCGCAGGGAAGGGGGCAGGGGGAAGAAGGCCAGAGAGCGCTGAAGGATACAAATACTGGAACCCTCTTGGGATTTTTTGGGGGGCCTCGTCCGGCCGCTCGCTGGGAGTTTGACGTAGCTTCTCGGGAGCCTCTGAACCTGTCGGGGGCCTCCTGGAAGCAGGTTCGAAGCATTTTGGGGGCCGATTTGGGGCTTCTCGGGGCCTCCTTTGGGCCTCTTGGGGGTCTCCTGGGGCCTCTTGAGGGGCCTCCTTGGGGCCTCCTGGCGGCCTCTTGGGGCGGAAGGCTCGAGCTTGCGGTTCGTGGTCCCCCTCTGGGCCCCCTCTTGGGCCCGTCTTGGGGCCCTCTTGGGCCATCTTGGGCGCCTCTTGGGCCGTCTTGGGGCCCTCTTGGGCTGTCCTGGGGCCCTCTTGGAAGCTTCTTGGGCCGTCTTGGGGCGGTCTTGGGCGCCTCTTGGGCCGTCCTGTAACGTCGGAAAGCCCAAAAGGCAACTTTGTGAAAATGTACGTTTTACGAAGGGAATGGGCAAATTTTTGCGTCTAGGGGCCCTCTTGGGGCGCATGTTGGAGGCTTCTTGGGGCGTCTTGGGGGCGTCCTTGGACGTCTGGAGGCCATCTTCAGCATCTTGGAGCCCTCTTGGAGGCCACTTGGAAGTTGCTTGGGCCGTCTTGGGCGCTTCTTGGGCCGTCTTGTCTGACCGGGGAGGCCTCCGGCAAGCCCCGACGAGCCTCCGGGCCCCCCGGGGCCCACATTTGTGGTCGGGGTCCCGGCCCCGGGCCCCCGGACCCGGTGCGCCGTTATATGTGTATTTGCCACATTTCTGAAATTCGGTGCCACCCCTCACGCAGATCCGCGGGGTCAGGGTCCAAAAACACAGGGGATTTGCCACATTTCTGAAATTCGAACCCATCACGCACATCCATCGCAAGGCGTGGTAACCCAAACTGCGAGAACTCCCTCGGCCCTTTAATCGCAAGGTGTGGTAACCAAGCCCTTAAACCATACACGTCTTACCAATCGCCAGGTGTGGTAACCCCTCTTGTGATCAGTTGGTTTTGCTGATTGCGACTCGGCTTCGCATGAAGTTTCGATACTGCTTCACGACAGCGCCAAGGCCTCATGACTTAGCTCTTCCATGGCCCATTCTCCGAGAGAGGGGGCCGGCGGCAGGGGGCGAAGCCCTTACGGATAACCATTCGAGGCCAATGCTTTCACCGCCTCTCACACTCATCCATCCTACTGCGGCAACTCCGCTTCTCCTTCTCAACTCATTTCCTCTCTCCCTCCGTCTCCAAATAATCCTGACGCTTCTTGCAGCCCAAAGTGGTGCTCCCTAGGTCGCCCCCATTGATGGCCCAACACTGAGAAGATGGTCACAATCACTCCCCCCACCATCCTACTCGCACTCGTCCTCCCCCTTGCCTCCTCGCCCCTCCTGGGCATCGCACCGCTGTTCGCGGTCCCCGTGCGCGGCACCTGGATCGGGCAACCCGTGCAGCCCAGACTACATCCCGCCCCGCTTACCGTTCGGAGCTCGGCGGGCAGACGTGATCCTTGCGCGCATGGCAGGCGACCGAACGGGCTGGCAAACCTGCCGTCCCATCGGCGGGAGAAAAAAGAGCTCGGCTCCTCCCTGGTCGAGTACGCGCGCAGGTGCTTCTGAGCGAAGAGGCGGCGCGCCTGCCACATGAAGACCTTGTTCTTCTTGGCCTGAGGGTGCGGTGAAGCCCGCGCGCTGTCGTCGGCGGAGAGAGAGAGAGAGAGAGAGAGAGACGGTGCGCCGAGGAGGCGGTGGGCACCTGGGAGGGCGAAGATCTGAATGCCTCCGGCGCGCATCACTGGTGCTGCACCGCGGCCGCCCCCCTTGTGTCAGAGGTCCCCTCTTCCTGGGTATATATCTGGCCACACCCTTTCGAAACCCCGGGCTCCCACTGGAATCGTGAAGGGCCCCCATTGGCCAGCCAAGAGTTCAGGACTTGGGGCTGGATGGGATGTTGATCCAACGGCGATGCCACGAGCTCGGGGAAATGGACAAATGGAGGAGTCAACAAACCCTCGTGGCTCTGCCGCAAGAGGTGGGCCTGAGAGGGCTGGGCTGGCGAGAACCCTGCTCTCTCCAGGCGCGGCGCAATGCTTCCATGAATGCTCGGCAACATAATGCGCGCAAGCACCATGTGTTCGAGAAAGAACCGCTCTCCGTACTCGTACTCATCGGAACACTCTCAGCGACCAACTGTAGGGCCGAAGCGAGAATTTGATCATCGAAGCCAACCACCCATCTTGGGAATGTGCTCGATGTTTTTCAGGCTTCGCGATGGCACAAAATGCTCAAGCGCAAATTGTGCGGGATAATATCGGACTCCAGCCCGCAAACCACCGGAATCGTCTCACGCAATGAGCGCGGCGCTGTGGTGAGAGCGCAAATCCCACCAGCCTTCTGGGCGTAGGTGGTCTAACGATTCCCACCAACCCTCTGGGCGTAAATGGTTTAATACAGTTTGTCTTCTCTCCCTGCCAAAACCCTTCCTTGGGGGAATGGTTCATCTTTATTCCTTATTGCTATACACCCCCTCCCCCACCCGGCCGGCAGCCAACCCCAGAATCATGATATCCCCACGAGGGCCATGCTAAAACATAATACAAAAAACGCTTTGCCTCCACATTTGGAGCATGTGCGGCCTCCCCCCGACCATTTTGTATTGAAATTTTAGCAGGTCCCACCTGCCTTCTGGGCGCAGGTGGTCGTCCGACTGGTTTGACGAATCAGTGGCTGCCGCCTTTTCGCCTTATCGCTTCCAGTGGGCTTTCGAAACCTCCCAATGGTTTCAACATTCGTTTCCAGTGGGCCTTCGAAACCCTCCAATGGTTTCGAAATTGGCCAAGAAACTCAAAGCCAGGCCTAAGAAGCTTCCAAACCCGTGGCGTCTGCGGTGTTCTTATGCGATATGCTGACATCCAGGTGTTACTTATGTGTTGGGAGGACGGGTGGGAGTGAGCAAGACGGCTTGCGGGCAGGTGGGTAGCTTGACCCCTCCCCCTACCCCCCCCCCTCCTGGGTCTGGACAGGGCGCCCCGCGAGGGGTTAGAGCGCCCAAGATCGCCCAAAATGGCTGCAAGATGGCCTCGGAGAGCGCAAGATGGCCTCCAAGATGGGTTTAGATAACTCGAGATGGCTCAAGATAGCCGCCGAAGCACATTCAAGAGGCCTCATGACGGCCCCGAAATGGCTTCAAGGGCCCCCCCGAGCCCTCCAAGGACCCCCCCAAGAGGCCAACATGGCTCCAAAACCTGCGGAGCATCATTGGTTTTTGCCTTCTCGCCGCTTCACCTCCGATGGGCCTCGGAGTGGACCGCCTGTAAAGCCCTGCTAGAGTGTCGAAGCTCGTTTGGGGGGCCGTCTTGAGCCTGTTCGGCCGCCTCTTGATCTGTCTTGGTCCATTCTCGGGGTGCGTTGGTGCAATCTGGGGAGCGTTTCTTTTCCGAACGGGAAGGCCCAGCGTGCCACGCTCGGGTAAGAAACCCTGAACGACCAGCGTGCTTTGGCGCCCTCGGGGATCCACCCAAAGAACAACAACACGCGCGTACAATGTGGCAATCATGAGAAGGGAAACGGAATCGCAAGCAGACTGGTAACCAGAAACCAGCTTGCGACTCCAGCCTATATAATTGCACTGGGGCCCAAGACTCAGCGTATCTCTCTCGCAAGGCGCCCATATCACGAACTTAAGAGAAAAATGAATGAGCCCGACCAGACAGAATAGAGCACCGGCCTCGGCTCTAAGATCTCCCGCCGCGCTGTGCCGCTGCTGTCGGGCCCCTTCTTGCGGCTCAGTTTGGTCCGCCCAAATTCCCCCCTCAGTCTGCAAGCCCATCCAGGTCCTCCCACAGCGCAGTGGCAAAGTTGCACTGCAATGCAATCACTGAAACATGGCATGGTAAAACTCGTAAACCAAACTACATATTCCACCGAGTACTTTGCGGTACCAATACTGCCGTCGGACGGACCCCTCCGGAGCTCTCCTTCTTAAGGCGCCGTGGGCCGTCTTCGGGCGATCTCGGAGCGATCGGGGGGATGCCTCGGAGGCCGCCGCGAGCTGCTGAGAGACCGGAAACTAGAGGCCTATTAAGTGCCCCGGGTGTGCTGCGTCCTGGTGTCCCCCCGGGGCCGGGTTTTTCGGGCGTATGCGAGAAGGAGGAGGAGGCAGAGGAGGAGGAGGAGGAGGACGAGGCAAGATGAGGTGGAGAAGGAGGAACAGGCGCAAGAGGAACAGGAGGAGAGGAGGAGGAGGAAGAGGGGCGCCAGCCTGTATAAAGGCCTGGGCGGTTTTAGTGTTTTGTTTAATCTTATATCATTCCTTCTTCGCTTTCCCCTCAATGCATTTGCTTTGGATGAAACTTTCATTATCATCGGAGTTTGCCTATGCAATATCCTCCTCTTCTTTTCCTTCCATCTCCATCCCCTTTCATCTTCCTCACTCTCTTCATCAGATGAGGGGTAGGAAGAGGAGGACGGGACGGGTGAAGAGGAGGAGTAGGAGGGAGGAGGAGGAGGAGGAGGAGGAGGAGGAGAAGGAGGAGGGGGGGAGGAGGAGGAGGGAGGAGGAGGAGGTGGGAGGAGGAGGGAGGGAGGGGGGAGGAGGAGGGGGATTTTTTGGGCTCCTCCATGGGACGCCGATCATGCCAGCTACGGGGGTGCACTACGCACTGGACTCACTCCCATGAGTGAGGAAACCAAGATCCTGGAGAGCCCAACTCTCGAGGACGACCTCCTTCCTTCCCGTTCTGGGGTGGAGGCCCCGGTCGAAACGGCTCCGCCGTTCCTTGCCCATTCTGTCCAGGACAAAACCAGGCCGTCTGGCAGGGCACGTCTTGACCAAGCCGACGGGATGCTGCTGCGCGGAGGAGGAGGAGGAGGAGGAGGAGGAGGAGGAGGAGGAGGAGGAGGAGGAGGAGGAGGAGGAGGAGGAGGAGGGAGGAGGAGGCTGGTCCTGTGGGGGAGCAGCCAGGCACGGTCCGCCCAGAGGCCCAGGGACAACGCTGGAGGGGGGATGGGCTGCAGTCGGGCATGTCCCTCTTGGAGGATTTCTCCGAAGGGCTTAGGCGACCCGTCCTCCTTTCTCCTCCTCCTCCCCCTCCTCCTCCACTATAGAACGATTCTCGCGCGCCGGACACCGGACACCGGACACCGGACAGCGGACAGCGGACAGCGGACAGCGGACAGCGGACAGCGGACAGCGGACAGCGGACACCGGCCACCGGCCACCGGCCACCGGACACTGGCATAATCTTCACCTACTGTTCTGTAAGCAGGAAACTATGGCCTCTTTTTGAATTTTCGGGTCGGGCTCCGTATTCTCATAGACAATCGTTTGGCACTTTCATTCTCTATTGTTCTGAAAGCAGGAAACTATGCTCGTGTATTATATTTCCAGGCGGGTGCTCGGGGTTTTACAGAGAATGGCTAAGCGTATTCCCTTCATATTATGTGGTAAATGATTAACGCAAGCGAACATGTAATCAATTTAATAGTTGTCTAATTATTTAATTAATTATTTGCGTGGTTCCCTTGCTCGGTTAACCATTGGCAGTGTGTGGAGGGACGCGGAACGACGCGGATTGGATGATAATCTAAATTATTATTAAAATGAGCACGCAAGCGAACATATAAATAATTAGATAATTATTTAATTATGTATTCAATTATTTGCGTGGTTCCCTTGCTCATTTAATCATTGACACTGCGTGGGGGAGGCGCGGAACGATTGCGGATTGAATGCAAATCAAAATGATTATTTCGATGAGCACGCAAGCGAACATGTAAATAACTAAATAATTGTTTGATAATGTATTTAATTATTTGCGTGGTTCCCTGACTCATTCAACCAATGGCACTGTGTGGCGGGGGCGCGGAACGATGGCGGATTTAATGCTAATCAAAATGATTATTTCGATGAGCACGCAAGCGAACATGTTTAATTAGTTATTTAATTATTTGCGTGGTTCCCTTGCTCATTCAACCAATGGCACTGTGTGGCGGGGGCGCGGAACGATGACTGATTGAATGCTAATCAACATGGTTGTTTCAACGAGCACGTAAGCGAACATGTAAATAAGTAAATTAAATAATTAGTTAACTAGTTACTTAATTATTTGCGTGGTTCCTTTGCTCATTTAACTACTGGCACTGCGTGGAGGAGGCGCGGAACGATGACGGATTGAATGCTACTCAAAATGGCTACTTCCAATGAGCACGCAAACGAACATGTAGATGATTAAATACTTATTCAATTATTTATTTAATTATGTGCGTGGTTCCCTTGCTCAGTTAACCATTGGCACTGTGTGGAGGAGGCGCGGAACGATGCGGATTGGATGAGAATCTAAATGATTATTACAATGAGCACGCAAGCGAACATGTAAATAACTAAATAATTATTTGATTATGTATTCAATTATTTGCGTGGTTCCCTTGCTCATTTAAGCATTGGCACTGTGTGGAGGAGGCGCGGAACGATGCAGGTTGAATGCTAAGCAAAATTGTTATTTCAATGAGCACGCAAGCGAACATGTAAGTAATTAAATGATTATTTGATTATTTATTTAATTATTTGCGTGGTTCCCTTGCTCATTTAAGCATTGGCACTGTGTGGAGGAGGCGCGGAACGATGACGGTGGAGAGGTAGGTGGATGAAAAATTTAATGCTAATCAA